GAGTTCTTCTTTACTGTCAATTGGTTATGTACAATCACAAGCTGACCATTCCCTGATGATTAAGTCCCGAGGAAGCTCATTTACAGCACTACTAATCTATGTAGATGACATAGTGTTGGCTGGCAATGACAAGCCTGAAATTGATTCTGTAAAGAAGCACCTTGATGATATGTTCAAAATTAAAGATTTAGGAGATTTGCACTATTTCCTTGGTTTGGAGATTATTCGATCGAGTGATGGGCTGGTAGTTAATCAGCGAATATATGCTTTGGAGATAATAGCAGATGCTGGTATGCTAGGAGGAAAGCCCTGTTCTACTCCAATGGAAGCAGGTGTCAAATTGGCACGTGATAAAGGCAAACCTTATGAAGACTCTGCTAGTTATCGACGCCTTGTAGGAAGATTGTTGTACTTGACAACAACACGACCAGACATTTCATATGTGGTCCAGCAACTTAGTCAGTATGTAGCATGTCCAACTGACTTACATATGAAAGCAGCACTTCATGTTCTTAGATATCTAAAGTCTGCCCCTGGAAATGGCCTCTTTTATTCGGCACACAACAATCTGGAACCCAGTGGCTTCGCAGATGCCGATTGGGGTACTTGTCCAGATACCAGGAGATCAATCACAGGGTTTTGTGTCTTCTTAGGAAATTCTCTAGTAACTTGGAGATCGAAGAAACAAGGAACAGTATCCAGATCCTCCTCTGAAGCTGAGTATAGAGCATTGGCTTCACTCGCTTGTGAGTTGCAGTGGGTGAGTTACATTCTCAGAGATTTGAATGTGGAACTGTCAAAGGCCATTCCAGTTTAATGTGACAACAGGTCAGCCATATACTTGGCGCACAATCCCAGCTTCCATGAAAGGTCGAAGCATATAGAGATCGATTGCCATGTGATCAGGGAAAGGATCAATGATGGCTTGATTCATCTTCTTCCCATAGCTTCTTCTTGTCAGTTGGCCGATCCCTTCACCAAGAGTCTGTCAGCAGGGCCTTTCAAAACCTTGATCAGCAAGTTGGGACTTCGCAATATCTACCTCCCAACTTGAGGGGGGTATTAGAAGTGGAGTTTATATTTATGAAGTGGACTTTGTATCAGTTAGTAAGTTAGCTTTCTGTTAGAGTTAGTTAGCGTAGTTGTAGGTAACAGCTGTATATAATTAGAAAGATAGCTTGTACGTAAGATTATTCATTCTGTTATCTTTTCTTTCTGCAATATGAAATTCATGGGGAATTTACCAAGTTTTCTCTTTGCTTCAATGGGATTTGACAGTGACACTGAAGATATAATGTGATATACCAACTCTAAAACTGTCAAGTTTGAGAGTAAGTAAACGAACACTGAAGAATGTATCAAAAAGAAAAGAAAAAAAGGAACATTGAAGATGCTAACTCTAGCTACTTATGTCGTGATCCTATTTCGGTTGCCCTCATTGACTTAATCGAATTATTGAAGCTCTAGATCCTGCGTGTTTGACATTTATTAGAAAGTAATAGACTGAGATAAGCAAGCATGGTTTTTGGCTTTTTGTACCATACTTAAAACGAAGAATATTAATGACACGTAAAAGGGTGTGGATCACACATTGAATTGAGTATTACACGTGCGTTGCCCATTACAGGATATAGGGATTAATTAATAAAATTACAGCCACAGGCAGCTAGCTAATTGCCTAATTCTGCACAAAATGATAAAACAATTAGGTGCTAAATGTTATTGTTTTTAAAATCAATTAAGTTTCTCAATTTCATGTGAAGTTGGGCGCAGCAGGACCACAATCATTGCTCTTTCTTCACCAAATTGAGTCACCATTGCATTAATTTTCATTTCCTCAAATATGTGCTCAGTACATATGTATTAGATCCTGTTTAACAAGAAATAGATTGCGCTGGACCGCTATAGAGTTGGGCTTTTTATAAGGTTTAGAGTTGGGTTTGGATATATATACGAAAATCACAATTTAGGAATTTGTAGCACATTGATTATTATAATTAGAAGTTAAATAGCCACCTAGAGTGATTATTTGATTATCATATATCCTATGAAAAATTTTAAACAACATGGTTTATCAAATAATGCTACAAATTGTTGCTCATTTGTCACCTAAGCTTTTTAGCATAAAAATTATGAATGATCAACTATTGTTTTTGATGTTTGATTGATGTTATACTTTTTATTTAAAATATTTAATTACTAAAGTTTATGTAAGAAACAGTCTATTATGACCCACGTCATCTTTGAATTACTTTATAGAAATTTTTCCGAAGATATGGCAGTCCTTTACTTGGATTTGGTAAGAGCAACGCTACTTCCCACGCAATTTATTTTATAAAGATATTATGGAATGCCTGTTGACGTGCCAGTGAGGAAAAGAATCTTTTTTTTTTTCATGAAGAATGAAGATAACCTTGAATTGTATTTGACCCCACAAACTCAAGGTCAAGGTTAATAATACAATTAAAAAATTGTCAAATAAAATAATGAAATAATAAAATTAAAAATACCACTTGTATTTGGTTTTTAATAACTGACTTCGAAACCTGTTTGCCTTATTCTTTTAAGTTACAAATTAATTTTAAACTAAAATTAAAAATAAAACTAAAATTTATTTATAATTATTATATAAAAAATTTAGCTTAAAAGTTTCTTTAAAATTCAAATTAAAATTAAATTATGTAGTAAAATAACTTTTGTAAGATCTGTTTTCAATTAAAATTACCATTAGAAACTTATATTATTTAGATAAACACAAATATGATAAGAAGTAAAAGATAAAATTTTTAAAGGAAAAATAGATCCAAAAATGAATAGAATATAATTTATTCATTCTTCTCGGTGAAATTCTCATTATTTTCAAGAGAAGGAGGAAATTGAATGCTTTGTCATTGAGCTGAAGAGTAAAATTTATAAATATAAATTTTAAATAAGGTCATAATTAAAAAAAAATATGTGAAATAAAAAAAAACTATTGTACGTCGTAAAAAATTTCTCATGTGACTTTATACCTCTTTTTAATTTTATTAATTATAAAAAAATTCTTAAAATTTTTTTTTTGATAAAAATCAGGGGTGGCAATTTTCTATATGTCCCGCTAGCACGACATGAAAAATTTGTATTTTGATTAACTCGTTTTAAAATTCACGCCATGATCATGTTAACAAACTTTTAATACAAAAAAGTTTGTCATGTCGCGTGTCAATCCACAAAGACGAAATTGACTGATGTTATTTGTGTTGTATTGTGCCATGTCAACCCACATGATAAATGACATACTTTGAGATTGATATGTTAATCATGTCGTGTTATGTCAACACACATAATAAGCGACACGCTTGAAGTTAGTGGTTTATTTGTATCATATCATGTCATCCTTCAAAATAGCAAGTCGTGTTCATGTTCGTGTTGAAGATTTTGTCTCATTTTCAAATTTGTATCATGTTCATGATACAAATGGGTAATTAGTATGTTGTTAGATAACTGAGGGAAATTAAGGAGTTTGTTATTAGGTTCTGTTTAGTATTGTTGTGATGTATTGCATTTTACATTTTCTCTTTCCTTTCTGTTATTTGCTTCCATTATGCACTTGTATAAAAACATTGTTTGATGATATGAATATTAACAAAAGAAGTATTTTCAGAACCTTTGGGTTAAGGAGGTGATCTCCCCTCAAAGTGAGATAACATTTAGCTCTTACGCATGAATTGGTGTTTTCGTTGAGAGCTGAATCATAGTTGGCTCTTTCCTACCATACCATAAATATGAGATTTATGAAGTTGTGTTGAATCAAATATTAGAAAGCCAGCAACAAATGCGTACACAAATGCTGTAAAAAATTCAAACACTTTCCATAATTAAATCCAAAACCACACCCCACCCCCCAGCATCATCTTCAATTTGAAACTTCTTGTAAACCTTTTGCCATCATCAAAATATGCATTCCATGATATTTAGTGCTTGTTTGGATCCTCTCTTTTTTAAGCTAGAAGCTACTTATAAGCATAAGTTAGGCCTAACAGGTTTTGAAAAAAACTCTTATAATGAAAAGTTCTTTTTTTATAATGAAGAAAAAAACTGAAAATTAAAAGTTCTTAAGAAGAGCTTTTTTTTAAGATCTTATCTATTTTTCTTGAATTGTGTATTTTTTTTTTATAACGAAGAGTAACAGAGAGAAAGATAATTTTCTAGAAATATATATAGTCTTGAGGGTGGGTTGGGCTGCAAGTCCTAAAAAAGCCTGTTCAAAGGCCAGACGTATTGGCACCTTTTGGGTGACTTAGTCACGTAGGCATCGTGTTGCATAGTTGGGGTTGTGCAAATACGACTAATCTGTCACTGGCAATTGGGCTCTTTCCCTTGCAAACCCCATTACTCCAAACCCTTCAGGCTTCAACCCTGTATCCAGGAAATAATTAAATAAATAAAATTCAACTCTGCCACCCCTGGTCCAATAACAACGTTTTTTTTCCCCCCCTACTTTATCATTCATATCTTCAAGTTTATAAATTTGTCACACGGTTCGGAAAAGAGATGTCTCAACCGTGAGCACTGAGCATGGCTTTTGTAAATTTATCACACTGTTCTGCTTGATTATTTATATCTTCAATTTTATAAATTTAGCGCTAGACTTCTTTTTTCGTAAAACCACAGATTGAGTCCATTTGAACAAATTGTTTTGTTTTAGTTTTTTGCCATATTTTAATGTCAGTTTATGACATGGCAATGAAATGGATCCCTTATCAATATATCACTTGGTCTCATGCTGAATATGTTTAATTTTTGTTCAAGAATTGACATTTTCTTGCACAAAGTCAACACAATTGCGCGATTTGTTAAAACGGGTATAAAGAATAGGAATTTGATAACCGGTTTAGAAATATATATATTAATTCCACCTCCAAATATAATACATGAAGTCATGTACACAAGAAAATGTGATCACTATTCATGTCAGAGGAGGTTGGTTTTTTTCTTTTTTCTTTTTTGCTATGATTGCATCAATTAGGAGGGACATTATCTCCTTTCCTTACCAGGTTCAATTTCCCTTCCATCCATCTTTTCAGCATCTTAAGTGCAGCTTTTGGTTGATCCATAGGGACCATGTGCCCAGCTCCATTTACCTGTTGTATCACAAAAATAAAGTCATCAAATGTGGAATTAAAAATGTTAGGGTCAAGAATACACCCGTAAACACAAACCTTGAGAAAAGAGAGAGGTCCATAGCTTTTCAACAACCCTGCTTTTACACCATCAACCAAAAATTGCATTGTATGGGATGCTCCAAACTCCTTTTGTCCTGACCACTCCATGGCATGAACCCATCTTGAATTCCCTGCCAATTGAGAAGAACATAAAGAATAGAATCTAACATACAACTTTTTCAACACAAAGACCAATTTGGTTTGAAATGAATCAAGAAGGCTCACCAAGCCAATTGCATATGAGATCTTCTTCCCCAGCATACACAAGCATTCTGATTCCATCCTCAAGAAGTGAAGGGATTCCCACTTCAAGGTTTCTCATCCAATCTTGCATCATGGCATCATACACTGTTTGACTGCATGATACGTACTCCAAGTCCCCCACACCTAAAGCATCCCTCGCACTTTGCTTGTTTAAAAGTGTCTCCAAGTTTGAAAAGTCATAGCACAATTCTCCCTCGCATTTCTTTCTGATGTCATAGTACTGCAATTCGATAATAAGCAAAATGCAGTAAGTAATTAACTCGAACTACACTATTTTCTCAAACCATGCTGAACAGAAAAAAAGTATAATGATAATAAATAATGTTCTTTCATGATTACTTACATTAATGTCGCCAGTAATGTCCAAGATACGAGCGAATATGTTTTCGCAAATACTTAAGGCAGACACGCAGCTTTGTCCACCTTTAGAGTCTGATGAATCAAACACAGATCAATGAACATCACAAAGAGATACAACATACATTTCTAGCTAGCTCAATGAATTAACAAAGGGAAAAAAGATTATCATTTAAAAGGACACAACTTGTATCTTTTTAGGTGATTTACACAAAGTATGACCGGTCATACTTTGTGTAAATCTGACGTGTAAGTGAAAAAAAAGGTAACTTTTCATAATTACACCGGTCATATTCTGTGTAAGTCATTAAAAGGACACAACTTGTATCCTTTTGAATGACACACACTAAACCCATTAACAAATAGGAAAAAAAGAAAAGAAAAAAAAGTAGGGGGAAGTTGTACTGCATGCTGTTATGGCCTGCTCACACCCTGGGATAAACTGTTTGATACTTTCGTATTCAGCCTTTGAAATTAATCCCTTGTCTAATGCAAAGTCTGGGTATGCTTGGTACTGAATTCCAGGATTTGTTAACCCATTACCAATAGCAAAGCCCTGTTATTATATTGGATCAAATAAATCAATACTAGCAAGGCTAAACTAATTATCGTTTCATAGTGATGACTGATGATATAAATTATATAAGAAGTAGTATAAAGACCTTGAGGTTTATATAAATTCCTTGTTTTTCTTTATTTCCTTTGTGAACCCGAGATGCAAGAGCTGGAATGTAGTGTCCTGCGTATGATTCTCCAGTAATGTAAAAATCATTCTTAACGAACTTGGGGTGCTGCTTGAAAAATGCCTGTCATTATAGTAATATTTAGTGGATATTATTTATGGGATTGTCTTTTCTCATGTTGCATAGGAGAAGAGCTATCTCCTACACACACATAGAGAAGAGAGAGGAGAGAGAATAAGGAAGAGAAAAAAAAATTAAAATGGGTCCCACGTTTACTTTGTATCTTATGCATAAGATAACAATCTTATGTAACATAAGATTATTATTTCCCATTATTTATATACAAGCATACAACATATATATACTTCTCTACATTTAAGTTTGGCTTTTCTACATTACCTGCAAGAAGTCATACAAATCATTGCTAACACCCACTTCATCATGGGGAACATCAGCAGAATCGGAAGTGTAGCTGAAACCTGTCCCAATTGGTTGGTCAACAAATAAAATATTTGATACCTACAAAATGAGAAAACACCATGTTGATGAGAATGAGAAAATAAATTTGGTGTAACAACTTGATTCCATGTAAATTGATTGTTACCTTATCCCAGCCGTAATTATTCCATGTAAGAGACAAGTTATTGGCAATTTTGAAAGGACCATTCTCATAAAACAAAGCTAGTTCACTGCTACACCCTGGACCTCCAGTCAACCATATAACAACCGGGTCATTCGTGTTGTTCCGGGATTCAAAGAAAAAGTAGAACATCCTGCAAATTAAATGATAGAAGAAAATATATGGCAATTCAAGCCAGAACCACATATTAGCCAATATTTAAAGAGCCAAATTTAAATATATGGATTAGGAAAAATAAGCAGCACTTGGATCATTAAATGATTGCAAACCAATAATGGCTATGCGATAATAATTACATTTAGAATAATTGAGATTCTCGCACAATCATATAACCTCGTGAAATTATATTAGCTGTGATATAATGATATTATGTTTATGACGTGTCAACAAACATGTTACTTTAAGATCCGTAATCACTTTAAAAATATCACGATCGACTAAAAAAAGCCAGTGGCGGTGCAACCAATGTTGACCTTAAAACATCATGAAGAATTTCTTTTTTTTTTCTTTTTTCTTTTTTTGTGTGGCAAAGTACATTAACTCAACACATGACAGTTACTTATAAAAACTTCAAAGAATACGTCAACTATTTATACATTGTTTTAACCAAAATATCCTTCGAATATACACTATTTACATTACTCTGAATCTCTAGAGAGAAAAAAAATAAAATAAAAATTTAAAACCCAATTTAAAGTTCAAAATGAAACGTATGCCAGAGTTTGAATCAGAAGAATATTTTACCTTGCAGCTTTGGAACGAGGAAGCGAATAATACCCCGCATGATGACCAAGGTCTTCAACAGAAGGCCCAGAAGCACCAAGAAACGAAAATTTCTTCTCCACGATATTTCCAGGGACAAAACCAACAGGGTCACCTAGTTTTATGTTAACTGGATCCTTTGGAAACAGGTTAAGGCCTCTTATGAGCGTTTCTGCTTGTGGTTTTGGGGTGTATAACAAGCCACGGTCATTGATGTTGCGAGAAGTTGCATAGGATGAAGAAACTGAAATGATGAACAGAGACAGAAGAGACAGAGAGATTTTGCAGAGGGTTGGTGATGATGCCATGTTGTTTTCACTTGCGGAAAATGCTTAGCAATGGCTTTGAATTTATAGCACTCCCTATGCAAACTGCTTTGGCTGAGAAGCGTTAGAGTATGACGTATCACTTTTCATGTTTTAGTATCCTTAAAATACTTTAATTTCGTATTCTAAACGTGAACTTCCTTCTAATATTGTATTTTTATATTAATATTGATTTTTTCCTTTGACTTCTCTTTAAGATTTTTGTTCTCTGCAAAACTTGGTTTAGTCAGTGAATTTTGCCGTAATGTGCTCGAGCAGTTGGCTTTTGAAATTACCGTTTGATTTGGTAATTAATAAATTGATTTGGTAATAAATTTTATCTCCGAGTTGAATAGTACTTAATATTTGTCATAATACAGTCAAAAGCTTTCGATTCTTAAATAATAATATGAACTTAATTACTGAGATAACGCGTCTTTAGCTCACTTTAATCTTTTAAAATTCTTTTGTGAAAAAAAAAATGGACGGGTTATACTTATTACTATTACTACATGATTGATTATGTTGAATCAATTTAAAATTAACAGTTAAAAAATGAAAAAAAATTAACAATTAAGTGTGTATGTATGTATCACTATAAATAACACTCTAAATTAAATATGTAGTAAATACATTAATATTTGATCACTATAAATATACAATATCATTTTGAAGGAGTCTTCTTTGAAAATAATGAAATCTATGTATGCTATGAGATAAAAACACGTCATAACTTCAAAAGGCTCCTGAAAAATAATAAATAATTTCCTTCTTATAATAAATATTCATTAATTTTGTCTTAATAGTAATTATACTGATGTAATAGTTGCATATATAGTAAATATAAGCCATTCATTGCCATGTGGTTTAAGAAGTATTTTTACTTTAATGCTAAATAAGAAATTAATTTAATTTATGTTGATGTATGATGAAAGTAAAATAATTTATTTATTTTTTTGGTAATGTGCTATGTAATTAAAAAAAAAATTGACATAACACAACAACAGCTTCAAATTTACTTTTTCAAAAGTTATTGGTGTCATCACATGGTTAACGTTCTAAGGAAGTTGCTAATTGACATAGCACCTTCCCAGATACCACATGAATTGCCATCACGATGGGGACACGTTCAGTCATGCCAAACTCCAAGCAAGAGAAATGTTGAGATGGATTTGTCTTATTTCTCGATTCACATATTACATGCATTATAGAGTTTATACTTTATAGTGAACTAGTTACAGTTGTTTAATTAGTAACTTCCTTACTACTCCCTTAATTTGTGGCTTTTTAAATTGCTCCAGTTATGCACTCAAGTTCGAACACCTTATATACGTGACTCCTGGCCCAGGATGGACCCCATTCATGCTTTCTTTAGAAGGGACCTTGTTGCAAAAGGGCATGTAAAATAATATTTTGTGCACATAAATTATCCACTTTGCCAATACCATTCCATTTTGGCAAATTACTTGTTTTAATAATCTTTTGGTAAAAAAAACATTAAATTAGTATTAATTTGGCTTTTACAGTGCCTCGTTTGTAGCTATAACCATTTCGTAAAGTGTTATTAAATTCGGCTGACAGGTCAAGTTAATCAGGAAACCAATGAACTAGTGATACAACCAGTCTAAATGAGTCAATAAATCGGCCATATAATAGACCTGATGAGAATCAATTCGACTCGGTAGGTTTTTGACAAAAATGGGTCACCCCGTTGGTTTTCTTTAAACTCGTGGATCATGAATTTTTATTTTTTTCTATAAAAAAAATTGTTATAGGGTGTGTTTTCACACTAATACCAGCAACTCAAATACCTAAATTACAACATACATATATGTATATTTATGTATTTGAATACTTTTTTTAAAAAATTTGAGTTAAAAATATAAATTTATATATATTTATTCGGGTCAATCGATTTAATCAATAATCCCTTAGTGGAACATTGACCAAAATGCCATTGTTCACCAAGTTTTTTACTCAAATGCCACGCGAATAGGGGTGTAAATGGGCTGGGCTTTGGCCATCCTGGCCCAAGCCTACGTAAAAAGAAATTCAGCCTATCTGGCCTACTAAAGGCTTTATTTGTAGGCCAAGCCCGACCCATTTTCAAAAATAAGAAAGCCTGACATGGCCTACAGGCCTTGTAGGCCTCCCACTATATATACTAATCAAAAAAAAAAATTGTATAGAGCAAAGAAAGTTCCATTCATGCATGCACTAGTACTTCTCATAAGAAAAAAATGACAAACAAGAAAGAGTCAACATAATACTTCAGCTCTAGAATGTATATCATAGAGGAATAGAGTCAAAGAAATAGGAAAAATAAGAAAAATACAATTACTGGATGCTGAAATAAAGTCTACAAGAGAATGTCATTCATCTAAAAATCTTTAAACCACCATCAAGACAAGAGAAAGAAGAGTATTATTGAAAGATCTTCATCAATAACATCATAATCCAGCAAGGTACCCATTGCTCCATGGTATTAAGCTGCGACGACATGTAAAATTTGGAGACATTAGACAAGTTTTCCTTTCATAAAATAAAATAGCACAAAAAGTAAGAGATATTGGTATTTGGTACTTTGTGTCTTTGCCAAATAAAATAAATATTATTTTATTATTTTATTTTAATAAATTAAATAGGTCAGCCTAAAAGGCTGTAGGCCGGGCTTGACAAAATTGGCCTATGGCCTATTTATTAAAAAAGCTTTTTTATAAGACTAAGCCTACTCTACTTTTCTGAAAGGCCGAGCCTGGGCTGGGCTCAATGTAGGCCGGGCCGTAGGCTGGGCTGGGCCAGCCTGGCCCATTTACACCCCTACACGCGAACGCCACGCTAACAGTGTTATTTTTCAATATGCCACGTGGGGTGGGCAAGTTTGCTGGGCACTGTATCGAACTCAGTTTGTTGATGTGTCACGTTTCTGGTGGACACCAAATTCACTGCACATACTGGCTATTTGATTTGTGAAGTTACCATTGAAGATTAAGAAAGCATTGCGTCTAAGCCATGAGTGTAACACCCCGTATATATTCGGTAGTGTTATCATTACATCGTATTAAGCTACGCTTAATTAAAAATGCGGAATAATCTTTTTCTTTTCAATTATGACGTCATTATCAATTACCAACTTGATTACTTAATCAATTTCATAAAATATCGCCTGAATGTAAATCGCAATAAGACATCTACTGAAATACCTCAATATAACATATAAAGTGAGTATCTAAGTCACGGCATTACATCACGTAATCCGGACAATATCCTGATACATTAATACAACTCTAATAAAAGCAATACATAACAAGTCTACGTGGCATGGACAATCCACATGCTCACCAAATCAACAGTGTCTCAACAAGATAATCATAATCATAGAATGAAGCTCAAAGCATAAAAACAGCATGCATATCCAACATCCAACAAGTCAGCAATAATATCATCAATATCTAACTCAGCTCCGGCCCCCTGCCGCCTGAGGTCTCAACATTATCTGACCCTGAAATAAGCATTCCCCAAACGTGGGGTGAGATCTCTAAACTAGAAATCTCAGTAAGACAAGGGGTCCTCAAGGATCTTCCACCCCAAGCTCACTTACATGTGCAATATAAGTTCAAAAAGCATTTATATCAATATTAGTTTCAAAACGATGTAGTGCAACAGATATTCATGCCATGTGTGTTTATCACTATTCTACTGGCCAGAGAAATGCAGGAATACGTCTATCACCCACATGTAGTACAAGGAACACCGCTTGCACCTCACCCACAGCCTCACCATGTTGTATGTACCACATACTCAGGCTTACCGCATAGGTGGAACACCACATGCATATCATAAAGGCACTAGCATATAACAGCTCAATAGCATTTCCAAAACATCAAAAGCATGTAACACAGCATGCATATAACCATACACCTATGGGACATGGTGGAACCACAACATGGCTAAACCGAGGACACGAAAGCTTACCTTGCAAGCTCACTATCCAATGCCAAGAGTCCTCACAGCTCAAGTCCAACACACAGCATATCACAATCTGATTTAGGACCAGCAAGTGTATCAACATACATAGCTCAAAAGCATTAACATAAAGACTACGTTCTCTTTAATGATTTACGTCTTAAGGCTTCCAACAAAGCCACAAGCCCGTAATCACATGATTCTGACTTAGTTCATTAATTACAGAAGTTCAACTTCATCAATCTAGGGTCCACAAACCCCCAATAGCCTATTGTACACACAACACAGCTACTGTTCCTCGAAATCCCAGAATATCCGGATATTCTTCAGGTACATATCCGGATATCTCACTGACCATATCCGGATATACAATATCCGGATATCCAGATTCCCATATTCGGATATCCAATATCCGGATGTCCAAATCCCATATCCGGATATTTCACGGGCAGATATCCGGATATTTCACGACAGAATGCAGAAACTGCATTTCGTGAAGATATCCTTCCAAGGTTGGGTTTTTACCGATTATAAACACTTAAACATGCATTTCTAGGTGTGTTTGACATTACCCAACGTTAAGTTATCATCTTTTAGCCTTTAGATGCATCAAGGTTCCATTTTTAAGCATCAAAACTCAAGTTCAAAGGTGATGAAGCTTACTCAAGCTTAAACTCAGCAAAAGGATGCTCTTGGAGCTCCCAAACCAGCCTCAAGGTGCTGGCACAAAAGGGTACACGAAAATGGTGTTCAAGACTTGATTTTTCTTCACAAAGGTTGGCACTTGGAGCTTCAACAACCAAGAATGTGACACCACAACACCAAACCAGGAACTCAGCACTTCAAAACTCAAAATGCTGAAACAAGAACTCAGAAACAAGGTCCTCTCACTCTCACAAGGTGGATCACACCAAGATATGTTGATCAAGAGAAGAAACCATGATCAAAGGTGGTGTCTTTGGTGAGAAAATGGAGAAGAAATACAGTGACAAGGTGGCTGTTCTCACAACTCAGAAAAACTCACGCTGGAGGCTCAT